ATAGCGGCATGTGGAAATGAGGGGGGCTCACCACAGTCAACCTCTGGGGAGAAAATCAGCGACATAAAGTCATCACAGAGTTACAACACACTGTTTGTGTGAACAACTGACTGTGATATTTGTGAGGGTTAAAAGCAAAGATTGTCAAAAGAAGCTTTAAAGCTTTAAATTAAGCAGACTGTTAAACAAACAAGCTCAGATAAAAATATGAAGTATTAGTAAAGTATTTTCAATATAAAGTAGCAACTGCATATGCTGGAATGACTCGAAATCCTCTGGTGTCCATACAAAAACAGGTGGACAGCTAAGCAAGCTACAGTAGTTAGGAGAGAGACGACGGTCCAGAAATTATGGCAAAACCTCTACTGTTAGCCAGGAAGGACTATCGCTTTGTGGTAAGGAACAAGGACGCTGCAAGTTGCCTCTGCTTTGACTTCCATGGCTTTACTTGACCTTGGCCAACAACTTTACCCAAAGAGATGACTGTCGCTTCCCCAAACTCACATGCAGCAGTCAGTTTTTAACAAAGCATCAGTTAAATTACTAAATACTAGGTGCTTAAGTATCTGACAGCCACTCAAGAGACAATCAAGTCATGATTATACGAGTAAGCCTCTGAGTCTGGAACACCCCCTTGGACAATGTGGACATTAACCTCTGGAACATCGAAGTAGAAAAGGATTAAGTGAGTTTTTTTTCCCCATATTTGCACTTGAGTACATCAAGTTGTTGCAACTTTTATTTTCACTTCACAACTACTTTCTACTCCGATACATTCTGCATGAGATCATTGTTACTCAGTCAATTACAAAAACTACAATTTGTGAAAAATTATGCTGTGCACCCGAGTGTAGGAGTAAATAAGCAGAGAAAGTATATGTGGATTGATACTGAGATGTCAATTCTTTCTTTCAGAATGTTTAACTTTGAGAATCGATTCTAATATAAAATTATCATTTTTTTAATCTGGTGTTTTACACAATTATTATAGGAAGCAGGACATGAGCTACTAGCAGACTTTAAGGGGCTTACATAGTAGTGACAAGTACACTACCAGCATGCCCCCAGCCCACCCACCCCCCATCTTGTCAGGGTTGGGCCGGCAACTAATACTGGGTTTGGTATCGTTGTTACCAGTGTTGATATTGTATTGATTCGGATCTAAAAGAAACTCAGCGGTATCAACCATCTATAGTGAAGAGACCCTTTTATGCTAGATCTAGTGGTGCTAGTCTGGCACAGGCACTCTGTATATTTTACAGCACTTTCCGTACTTTCAGTTGTTAAAACATTTATTGTGAGGGCAATACGAACATTTAGGGAAAAAAATGTGGCATGTTACTTTTGTTACGGTTTGTTTTATTTTGTACACCTGGTGGCTTTTGTTTGTCTTGATTTTTCAAATGCTTATTTATTAACAGACACTGCAGTGACTCTTAACTGTAACTGAGCTACTTGCAGTCTATTTTCTGAATAAAAAGAAAATATTCAGACTTTGTTTTCCTTATTGTGCTGCACTGTAACTTACAATGCTTTGTTAAAACTTGTCTTGAGGGAATTCAAAAGGTTAGGTTCTGTAAGGTCAATAGATTTGAATGTATGCTGATACTTAAGTAGCTTCAAACTGCATGTATTTTTTACTTTTAGTCGAACAGTATTTTACTGTATAACTTTTACTAGAGTAACATTTTGGTGTGGTAGCTGTACTTTTATTTAAGAATAAAATTGAGTAAATTTTTTCACCACTGCACATAATCAGTCCCTGCTTGAATGGCCTTCCTGTCACTTGGTATAAGGTAAAGAGGTTCGATGGCAGTAGCGATTAATGTGTAAGCTATCCTGCGCTATAGCCCAGGGCCTCAGCAAACATAAGGACCCCACCCCACCCCGCCTTAGTAAAAATGGAACAGTTAGGTTGAATGGCAACGCCTGAGTGTTTATGCTGATGTCAGCCTAGGGCCCCCAGATAAGTTATTCCGCCCCTGCTTGAGGGAAATAACTTGGTTAGGCTTCACCACATGCTGACATATAGAGTCACCATGAATCTCTTTCCAGACCAAAGGAAACCCATGAAATTAATTTGTATGTCTTAGGTGGCCTGACAGGTGGTGATTATGAGGTAATACAAACCATCAGCACTTTGTACAGCAATCTGAAAAACAGCATATTAACCTAAATCTGGGGCAAGAGGGTTTCACTTGCACATAAGCAAGAGCTTCTCCACAAGATATGCCCTTCCTTGCATCTCTTATTGCAGACCGACATGGTGCAAAAGAAGCTTCAACTGCTCCTGAATGACGGGCAACTAAAGTGCATTATGTGGTAAATAGAATCAATGTAAAATCTCAAAGCAAACATTCCATTCATCCAACTCATTAATTATAGTAGAGCGTTCTCCAGCGGAGTCTGCTGCAGGCATAGGTGCCTCAACCACAGCAGGCAGACTCAACAACAACACTGCCCAATCCATCTGACTGTCAATCACATCCACTTTAATAACTTTAATAACATGATTGCCTCAATTGCAACTATGATACCGAAATGTTCAGCTAATAATAAGTGTTAATCTTTGCAACATGAATCTATGCAAATCACAATGGGGTTACTCAGGAACTGCTCAATACTCTCCGGGGCATTTTAAAAGAGGAGACAGAAGTTTATTAAAAACACACTACTACACCAGCCTGGATCACATGCATTCTTGCTTGGGGTGTGAGAGATATATTATGAAGCATCATTCTACTATTTCAGCTAAGACAGCTGAAGTATGTTATCCAGAAAAATCAACAAATCATTGGGCGCATCAACAGCAACTTCCCTAAAAGGTAAACAAAAGGTTAATTTGGTACCTTGGCAGAGTATATCTACGGGATCCCAGGAACCGTCAGTAGTACACAGTGAGACATTGCCTTTCCCTGCATTGTAAAATCCAACATGGCACTGGTAGTGAACCTGAGCACCAACCCTGCTGCTCTGATTCCACAACATAGCAGCATGGGAAAAAGAGGGGGGCTCACCACAGTCAACCTCTGGGGAGGAAATCAGCGACATATTGTCATCACAAAGAAAGGGCTCTCAACAAAGTGTCCTTTAAGCTACATATTTACTGATCAGTTTACTAATCAAACATCAGAAAGATTTAATAAAAACATGAACTATAATTAAATAATTAAAAACTATGATGTCTGTAAATTATTGTTTAAATATCAATACACCAGCTGATGTAGATGTGCAGTAGCTGATGTAGATGTGGAGTAGCTGAGGTAGATGGGAAGTGGCGGATAAATGATGTATACAGCCAGTTTGTGGGCTGGAGGTGGCTCAGCTAGCAGAGAGTGATGTAGATATATCACTGACAAAGATACATTGTGAAGCATATTTCACATTCTCCATTGGCAATAACTGGAGGTTTTTCATAGAAAACACTAAATCATTCTGTTTGTCAACAGTAACTTCCCAAAAAAGATAAAAGATAATATGTTACCTTGACAGAGTATATCTACAGGATCCCAGTAACCGTCAGTAGTACACAGTGAGACATTGCCTTTCCCTGCATTGTAAAATCCAACATTGCACTGGTAGTGAACCTGAGCACCAACCCTGCTGCTCTGATTCCACAACATAGCGGCATGTGGAAATGAGGGGGGCTCACCACAGTCAACCTCTGGGGA